CGGGCCCGGACACTTAATGGGAGTCCTATGGGAAGAAATGACGGGAGTTTATAAAAGTGAGGAATCGCCCCCCCCTCCGTCCCCCCAAAATAAAGACCACATCTCGTACTGTCCACCTAGCTGTAGGCCCTTTACTACTGACAGGAGTTAAATTTAGAATCCAGCCTACCAGTAATTTCCTCTATGATCCTTCACCATAAAAAGACGTCCCTCTTTAGCTCTGCTGCGATCCAATTTTTCTATTCATCTCAGCTCTGCTCCTCCCCCTGCCTCCATCCCCTCTCCCTCCCTCCTCACTCACTCACTCCCGTCCTCCTTCCTCCGCCCCCCCGTCCACGCGCCCCCCCCGCCGCCGCGGTCTGCAGTTTCTCATGTTTTCAACAGATCAAATCCCAGGCGGGGCTTCCCAGAGTCCTATAGTTCACCGCAGCTGCACATGCAGGAGGTTGTCAATAAATGATACGCTCATGAATGGACAAATTGGTCCCTGACTGGAAAATAACAGTAAGAAGGTACAAACCCCCCCACATCATTAATCAACACAACACACACACCACACAAATACTACTGACAATTAAGTATATTAATTTTATAAAGTAAAAGTGAAAATAAAAAATACTAAGGACTATTTTTTTTTTATTTTTATCAAAATTTGAATTCTGCCACTTTAAATTTTTAAATGGTTTTAAAAATTGATTTTAAAATTGTTTTTTGGTCTATGAAACATGTCAGAAAAATGGCAACAAGAAAAAAATTTCCACCACACTCTGGCGCCATTTTGTCCCCCTAACGCAAACAAGGTCCAAACAAATTTGTTTTCAAGTAATTATTTTAAATTATACACGACTATGAAAAAAGAACATAATCTTTTTTCCCTTATAAATTTAACCAAAAGTTTAACAGAAAAAATCATGGTAAAAGACCTTCCATTTTCCTGTCGATCAATTATAAACCGGCTTAATTTTGTTTTTATCTTTCAATCAACATTTTTGTTGTCCGAGCAAATGTTTTTTTCCCGCAAGCCGTCCTAACCCTTCACTTATTAAAAAGCCAACTAAGGCTTCTTACAAATGAATTTTTGACTATACGTGCCTCAGTTTTTAATCATGAGAACTTATTTAGAGCGAACGATTTAAAGTTTGGGGTCAAATTTTTTAAAATCAAATGCAACAGGCTCTTGATTTCATTAAAATCATTTTTAAACTCCATTTATCACCAAGCAGACAATTTAAAACCTTGCAAAAAACATTATGC